CGGGAGCGCCGCCGCGCTTCCCAAGCGGCGCACTTATCCAGTGCGTCACCGGGCCGGCCCCCCAGCGCTGGTTTTTTGAGTCCCACTAATCACAAACACGCCCGTGCGCATACACACAGCACTATTCCTGCTACTAGTAGTAGTAGTGTCTGTTTTTTGCCTTTTAAGATAAAATAACATGGATTAGTTGAGTTTTACACTTTACATTAGGAAAGCTATAACTCTAAAGAGTAACTTCCAAAATAACAATTATGCTGTTCCTTACTGAGAATTAGTTTCTTCTTGTCTAAAATAAGATTAAACACCTCTCAGAAAAATTGTAAACAATTCAGCACCCAAGGTTGGCTGTTACTCACTACAATTTGTTTTGAACTCCTACGAGATTTCCACGTACCATCTGCAGTTCCCCCAGCCTGCATCCCACAGCTACTCATGGCTCCTGAGCGTACGATGCTGCCAGGAGTGTGGGGGCTACAGCAAACCCCAGGCAGCACCCGGCTCACAAGGACCCGGTTATGGTGACAAAGTGGGACGTACACGAAGTGCCATGAAAATACAGTTCCATTCAGCTGGGTGAATCAGTATCTGCTATAAGGACTAGAGAGGGAGCAAAATCAAAGGAGTTTGAGATATTTTTAAATTTTCTAGATTTCCTCTGGTATCAGAGGGGTTAACAAGGATCCAAAAGAAACACTGTTAGCAGAAGAGGAAATGAGCTTGAGTGGAGCATGAGGCACAAAAGCACGCAGTGCGCTGGGCTAGGTGACAGTGAAGGAGTCGCCTAGAGCAGCAGGAAGGGGCAGACTGTGTCGGGCCTTACAGGCCCTGGGAGGGGAGTTGGGAGCCACTGAAGGGAAATGACCCTGTAACTTGCCTCATTGCCAGAAGACCAGCTTTACTGCTGTGTCCAAAAATTCGTGTTTTTCTAAAAGTTGTGTGTGTCTTTTCATTTTAACTATGCAGGTGTATATTTAGGATAATACTATGAAAACCCAGGTATGCATGACCGTGTTGTAAGAAAATCTTAAGCATTTTGCCCTTCGTATTTGAGCTCAGCTGTGATTTTTACATTTTCTGTCTTCATATTTTACGGTGCATTGCTATATGCTTGGGAAAGAGGTGGCACCTCAATGCTGGAACCCACAGAGGTACCCTGATCAGACGCCCTCATGCCTTTCCTCACGTGTGCTGGGTAGAAAAGGAAAGCTGTGAAAAAGAA